TTTTTTTAAACCAGATCAAACAGAACATTTACTTTGATACTACTATGATTAGATGCATTTAATATCACGGTTCTCCGGTATGGATCTAGTAACTTTTTCACTTGCTTTGATCAGTGCTGTATCGCCAGTCTACCAGCGATCTTGAAGCTTTTTCTTTTTAGAAGGGATTAGCGGCTTTCCCTAACATAAGCACTTGACAGGTTTAGCGTTTCGAGATGTCTTCGTTACGTACTGAACATCATTACCCTCCCTCGAAAATTATCACCTAACATTCGGTGTCAGTATCCTCCTATGTTAGTGAAATTACTGAGATGTAATCACACGCCGCGCGCAGCTGTAATAAGTCCTTCAGTTTTGTGTTGCATGCCTCCAGTTAGTACCCAGCGCATGCTCAACATATGTGCGCCACCATTTCAGGAACCGCCAATCGTTTACTTTCTCGCGGGTGTCACTGACTAATGGGCGACATCACATTAATCAGTTGACAGCAAGGCCATCAACACAAACAGAATTTATAAAATAGAATCTTACTGGCTAGTTCCCCAGGCAATATTTTGGTCAATTACTAAATAATCGAATGTAAAACTGCTGCGTTTGCACATAGTTTGAAAAGCACACTATGGGACGCTTCCCAACTTCAAAGTTCATGGAAACAACGAATCCATTTTGCTTAAAATTAACTAATAAGACTTGAAATAATCAAAGTAATAGTTTTTACAAGTCAATCACAGACCTTGTTGCGCCGACAACAGTTCAACAGCACAATCACAATGAGGAATGCGAGGAAACGGGCGCTTAAATAGTATTCTGGGAAATCAAGTCCCCTTTAACGTTGCATCATTAGATTTGCATATTTGTGAAATAACTGACAATTCGACAAATCAGTCATATTTATTTAGCTATCAAATTTTGATATTTCGTTTAACTGCCATTAACAGCTCGATCATTCAGCTATGCATTTGGCAAATTCTTCAATTGCTCTGACCAGCACTACACCGCTCGATGGTAAGCCTGCTGACCATCTTACCATTCATCTCTATTGACCAGCTATTCTCGGTTTTCGAACTTTTTTGGGCGAATTAACTGCCAAACTTTATTGTAAGATAGCTTTAAATTTTGGAAATTTTGAAATGCACAATAATAATTTTCCACCTTGACGAAAAAAAAAATTGATAACAATAATGCAATATTTCAATTCACTG